GGCCAGGCACATCTGCTGTTGAAGCTACTTGGATATGATCACTGAAAAGCTTCTCTAATAGATAAAGGGGCATCTCAGAAACACATCAGGACTGAAGCATACAACTGTCCCCGTAAAGAGTGAATCACCTTGGACCAGAGCTACTCACTCAATAGCGCTCAAAACATGACGCGTAGAATCGGTCACTGAGTTGGCTGTCTCCCCTGAGTGCGCCTGATCCGAATGCAACTTGTCCGATAGAATGACGCCTGCTTAGAAATGTTCCAGGTAAGGACTTGGTATTAGAGCACTATGTACCCTTAAATCAAGTTTGGTTAACAACCACCGGGTTGCAACACCATTTTGGGGAATAGCTGCCATGGCACTTTAAAGATAAACGAGAGCTGAGATATTGCCACACGGCTCAATCCCAGACAGGAGCAATCGACATGCCGCTGTCGCGTTTGAACCACGGACCCTTCGGGCAGTAAGTTCGCTTCTTGAACACCGAGCTATCACAAACTCATCCAATTTAGATGAAATGAACACGGCCACCATTTCAACCAGGATGTTCTGCGCAACGGCAGCCTGCAAAAAAGGCTCCTGTTTTCTTTTCATGAGTAACATACGCTTGAGTACGCCGTTGATGTCTTTCTGCAGTAAAAGTACGAAGCGGGAGAATCCTGAAGTGCATGAAATTGAGTTGCAAAACCGTGCTGCAAACCTGAGACCTTTTGAAAAAAGTCAACTGAAAAAGTTGCGTATTTTTGCTCCAACATCACTGTAGACAGGACGCAACCTGGTGGAGATGTATATTGCGAAATTTCACATTCACCACCGGTGCAAAGCTACCACGCTACCCATAGGAAGAAAGAAGACTGGCATTCAGTCAGGGTGCCCGAGCAACCACCACGAAGAGACTGGATCTAGATACAGAAGGCTATGCAATCCAACCAACCAAACACTTTGATTATGCGCTGCTGACGCCGTCTGTCAAACCAGTTATTAGAACAGAACGAGTTGTTTGCATTTGATATCCCATCACCATCACGAAGAGACTGGACCTTACCGTGGTGTGACGGTTTGCGCACCTCAGCGATCCATTGAGCTATACTGGAGAGTGTCCCGCGACACTCACAGAGTCTCTCATACCAGGTTGGTCAATGGTTAGAGGTCTGACGAACACAGTCTCCTGGCCCTCCAGGTTGGGGGTTGAAACATGTGGCGACTTGTTCCGTAGAAATGCTAATGCATTTACATTTCCCGCCAAACACCGCTGCCTTGCAGTTAGGCTTTTGAGCCAAAGGCTTTGGTTGAGGACCCTAATCGTCCTCCTGTCTAGGTGTGGGCGCCCTGGCAGTATCCCAGCCCTCGTACAACCATGACCTACACAACCAACAATATTCTCATGCCACATCGGCAGTCGCGTGGTGCCATCAGCCGGGTCGCCTTACTTGCTGCATACAGAAAGCCGGTAATGCCCGGAGATTATTTCAGTTGATCCGTGCGACCGGTCCCCGGAAACCACCTGTGAGTGAAAGCATCAAACATCAGAATGGAACGACCATCTCTAATAAGGGGGAACGCCTTGACCGGTGGGCTGAATACTTTGAACA